GGAAAAGTTTCAAGAAGAGCGTTTTTCACGTATTGAGAGGCAAATACAAGAACAACATGATCAATTGCAAAGTAATTTCAACTCGTTTGCATCAAAAATAGAAGAAACAATTGACATCATTAGGGAATGCATGACAGAAATTTTCAGCATGATGAAGAACTTCTCAACAGCCTCCTCCTCCTCCAATCAACCTCCACCCCTTGCACCATGATGAAGAATTTATCAACAGTCCCCTCCTTGTCAACATTCTTGAGGAACGCACTATGAATGTTAATTATGATTATGTGTACTTCAAATACTAAGCTTTATATACGAAGATTATATTTGTCTTTTGTTTATAAATAGATAGATTTCAGAGGATGTTCTTGATAAAGATTGTCTTTTGTTTATAAATAGATTTGCCTTTTGTTTATACATATCTCAACTACTCTTTTGAATGCATATGTATATGTAATACTAGACATACCCAAAGACATCAAAATTCAAATCTCAAATGAAATGCATATCTAAAATTTCATCTACAACCGGAGTCTGCAATGTGACGATAATATATACTGAAAACATTCATAATAAGTTACATTAAGGTCACTATCATGAATTCACAACCCTTCAGCAGATCGCCTCCTCATACATAACCAATGACGAAAATATAAAAAATAAAACAGCTGAATCAACATACAACTCAACTACATTCGGCAGAAATTAACCAAAGCATGAATAATTTCTGCCAAATACAATTCTATATGCTTCAACTTGTCAACAATACCAAACATCTCCCAACGAGACATCTTCATCATTTACAAACTCCTGTCCAGTATAGAAATTACTTTGGCCTGCGAGATTTTGAACCGAACCAGTGGACATCTGTCATTGTTTAACAACCATAATTTAGCACACGTTATAGAAAACTTAAGCCAATTACAATTATATAACATACATAACACATACCTAGGTAGTAACAACATCATTCGACAACACTTGAGTTTCCGCATCGGCCACGGAAATAGATGAAAGGAATTGTTCCTTTTATAGCTCTACTGATGATCATTTTCCTAAAAAGTAGCATAGCACATTAATAATCAAGTCGATATTATTCTAAACTCCAAATAAGTAAATAATGTTTTAAAAAAGAAATTTCATGTAAGAATAGGTGTATAACTCATACCAATTCTTTATTTTTGTAATTTTTTCTTTTTAACCCTACGTACAATTTCTTCAACCTTCGATTGCTTTCTTCTACATGGAGGACGACCTTTGCTACGAACTGCCTGTGGACTAATAATTAGACTATTTCCCTCTTTCGGAGGACTGTCCCCATCTTACTACTCAAACCGGTTGTGCAAGAGATATTCACTTTTGTACCAAGCCCTCCCTCACTTTCCTTTTGCTCCAACTTTTTCCTCATGTTAATCCTAAACTCCGTCAACATATTATAATCTTCCTCATTGTTTGATGTCATATCGGCTACTGTCAGCATTAAATTAGACAACTTATCAAAACGTTATCCTTCAATGTTGGTACTCCACCTATTATAACTCACCTTAATTTTCTTATGACATCTGTTTATATTTTTCCTCTAACACCGTAAAATGTACTTTTCTGGAACGTGTGAAACCCTTTTATGAATCAACACCATAATGACATGTCAGCATAAAATCCCCCTGAACTCAAACAAATGACAAGTACAACAAATATTACACGAACTTTCTTCAAAGTATACCGAAAACGAAACACGGTGACTACTATCTCCAAACCAAACATCTTCCAAAACTTGATACTCCTCGTATGAATCACATTTATTAAAAAAAAAAAAATCACAATAAATCTACCCCGCAATCTCTTCTTGAAACTCTTTAAACTTTGCAGTTGTGTATGCACTTTGAAATTGTTTCTCAATAGGGTAATTAGTTATGCATGGTATCCAAGATTTGAAAGATCTAAAATCAGCCTCCCTTTCTTTTTCCACTTTATCTCGCAATGCATTATCATATTGTTCCACAAATTTTTTCAAAGTAGCTTTTGAATTTACATACCCATCAAAAAATACATGCATACTTTCACTACGTTGGATAGTAGACATACATGCCAGAAAGTATCTTTAAGAAATGCAGGCACCCATCATACTCTTTCTTTGTACAATCCACATAACTATGCATTCTCATAAAGGTTGTACACATCAACATATTGGTTCCACCGTTCTTCGAACTCTTCACGCATAAAGAAATTATACACAATATTTTGCAACTTAAACTTTATAGTTTCATATTCCTTATACCCTCTTAACTTTTCAGGCAATTTCTTCATTATATGCCACAAACACCACATATGTCTTGTACTAGGGAAAACAATCTCAATTGCATTTTGCATGGCCTTATCTTGATCAGTGATAATTCCATTAGGAGCAACATCCATGCATTCAAGCCAAGAACGAAATAGCCATACAAATATCTCAGTGTTCTCATGAGAAATTAACCCACAACCTAACAACGTCGAATGTCAGTGATGATCAACCTCCACAAAAGCAGCAAATGGCATATCATACTTGTTCGTCAAATACGTTGTGTCGAATGTGACAACATCACCGAATTCTTTATATGCAGCACTACATCTAGCATCATCCCATAGCACATTCTGTAATCGACTCTCTTCATCTACATCAATCATGTATAAGAAATTTGAATTCTTCTTTTGCATTTTCATAAAATACTCAAGTACTGCCAAAGCATCTCCTACTCCAAGTCGTAGCCTTCTCACTTTTTCAATGTAGTTCCTATAATCTTTTTGTAGAAACGTCAAATTCTCTACATCTCCTGCCTCAACTGAACATGACTGAAAATTTTTATACGGTCTAATCCCAGCCACATCATTAACTTCAAGTCGCCTTTTCACATAAGGTTGCATCGCTCGGTTAACCTTGAAATATCTTATTTTTGTCGGACTTGTAAGATCATGGTTATGTTCAAGTACAACTGATTTAATTTCCCATTTGCATTCACCATTAAAAGCTGCACTAATCCGATGTTTACAATCTGTTTAGACTTACATCTCTCCTTCCCAGAATAAGAACATGCCACTGTCACATATCTCATCTCTCCATCATCGCCTTTCTTTGACGTACGTATCATTGCTTCAAATCCTATTTTGTTACCATACCGTTTGTAATACTTCACCAAACTATCAACTGAATCAAACACCATTCCAATATGAGGCTCCACTTCTTCCTCTGCACATCTCATATCTTCTAATTCATTACGTTCATTTTCCTGATCATTTAATAGTTTTATAATAGACAAAATTAGAATGTACTAATACAACACATCAAAAGAAACAATACGATACAATAAATTTAAAATCATGTTAACGAAAAAGTTAAGGTTTCGAACACAATTTACCTCAACATCATTGAAATTAGGCAAACTGGACTTTTCCATATTCTGTAATTTAATGCAAAACCAATACTAATGTTCGCGTTCACGAATCTGATTCACAACAATCACCAACAAATATTCTCTATCACTTTTTTTTTCTATTATAACATATATTCAATCCAAAATAGAATACAAAATTAAATAAATGCATAAGTTAAATAAAAACCACTTAACAACGTCAACAAATCTTTCTAATCTGGACAAATTTTGATCTTCTTATCTCCCTTTCCACTGTAAACAATTGTTTTACGAAAAATGTATAGCTTTTGTTCTTGTCATGGTAGCTGGTTGTTCAGGAAGAAACGGCTGTTGAGGAAGAAACTCGAGAAGAATTCAGACGCGAAGAATAGACGGGAACGATGAAGCAGAAGGCAAAGATGGGTATAAAATGAAGTTTTTTCTTTTTTCTTTCACTTGAAGAATTTTGGCGCTGGTTTTTGGAGAAGCCGTATTGGAGAAGCTAATGTTTTTCGCAAATTAAAAAAAAAAAATAGTTAATTAAAATAACATTTTATTATATTATGGACGGTCGTCCATATTATGTGGACGACCGTCCTTTACATAAGGGACACCCGTCCATTCCTTGTGGACGGGCGTCCATACATAATGGACAGGCGTCCGTTATATGTGGACGCCCGTCCACACGTTAGGGACACCCGTCCACAAGTTATGGACGAGTATCCAAAGTTTTTTTTTTTTTTTTGTTTTTTATATTTACATTATGGACGGGCGTCCCTTATTTGCGGGCGCCCGGCCAAAATTATTAAGGAACGACCATCCATAACTGATGAACGGGCATCCTTAATTTTTTTTTTTAATTTTTTAAAACCATTGTTAATGGACGGACGTCCATTAACATATGAACGCCCGTCCATTAATTTTGTTTATAAAAATTTTATTATTTAAATAAAGGACAAGCGTCCATTATATGTGGACGCTCGTCTTTTATTTAGGAACGACCGTCCATAACCTATGAACAGGCGTCCATTATTTTTGTTTATATTGCTTATTTCATTTACTAATGAACGGACGTTCTTTAAATTGGGATGTCCGTCCATAGTAAATAGCCTCCCGTCCATATAATATGAACGAGAGTTCATGCAAGTGAACGGTCGTCTATAGTTAATGAATGGTCGTTCATTAGAGAAAAAAAAATTGAACGTAAAACGTGTCTGGTGTGAGTCACGAGACACGTAAGTCGATGTAAGATTTCGGTGTACAATCCCAGTGTCCGTAGCATTATTGTAATCTGAAATGCACCTGAAGTTATCAAAAACTATCAATAACACCCCTACTATTACCAGTGGTAATTTACCACGCCATTGATAAGTTGTCTAATAATAATGCAATTTCGAAACTCTCTCATTTCCCTTAAATCTTCATCAAACTTCTTGAACTATTGAAGGAGGTTAAGAGAAAATATACAAGTAGAAGTCTCAACTAATTTTGATTATTTAACGTTTGGGGGGTGAAAGTAGTTTTGAAAAAGGTTAGCGAGACCTAAAGGGTTAGCATTTCATATCCTCAAAAGCATGAAGTATGTACACAAAACAGCACATATCGACATTCAAGTTCGGTATAATCAAAAAGTGTAAATCCTGCAAACATACATCAATGGGTAGATTGATCTCTATATACAAATTATTGAAGCTGATATCGACATTATGTTCCGGTAATAGCAAGCAAATTTAATCGTCGTTAAGCTAGTTATATACATCATTTAGGAGACGGTAGGCAAGGGGGAAAATGAAAGAAAGACTAGATTCTGAAGTTCTAATTCCCAACAGAAGCTTCACCATAGCTCTAGCACAGGAGAACTCCAATAAAAATAAATAATAGAAAACGAGATAACTATGCTCTTCTACCTGCTGCGATTGCAAGATATGGGCTCGTGTCACTGTTGCTAGCTAGTTCCCAGAACTCGTGATCTATTTTCAGCTTTTCTGGAAATCAATCCTTCTCCAGTTGACTTTGCTTAACCATCTAAAATCGAATAACGGATGTCCAGACTGTAGCTTCACCAGGTGTCTTCTATACGGTATTAACATAGTCTTCAGACCTGCCATTAATGGCATACCGATTAGAATGAATAGCACGAAAGCAATGACTACAAGAACAGAAACTCAACATGATAACAATGAATACAAGAAAGAACAGAAGAGTAGGCAGGCATACCTGTGATGCACATTGTCCTGTAAATAATAGCGGCACCAGCATCTCCTATAGTATTCATGTGCGGCCTCTCCAAGCATTCAAGAAACTCCAAGTCAGCTTTTAGCAATTCAGCCTGATCATGAGTGTCATAACCCATATCATGGCAATAACAGCAATAATCCAACCAATCAATCGGTCTCCTGTCCCAAATAAGAGAGCCGTTGTCTTTCCCACTTGACCAATTTGGCCCACAATAGTGTCCATATCTAGGAAAAAGCTGGGAAAGAAATGCTCTTGAACCTTTATGCCATGGGACCTTTGACACATATGGTCGAAATTTCACAGGGTTACCTCTGAGAATAGGGTCATTAAACCCTTGTTGCTGAGCACGTTTCTTCAACCTTCTGTTTATAGTTGTTGGTCCTCGACTATTGTCTCTAGTATTAATCGCCCAAGGAATAAGAGATACGAGGGACCAGCCCCATAGCTTGATGTCAAAACCCGCCTTTGGTTCTGACTGTTCCAACAGTACGGCCTTTGATTCAAGGTTTTCTTGCATATCCTCTTTTGAATGGATACTGGACCATCCAATACTAAGAAAATCAAATTTCATCTTCAGCAAAGGCAAGATGTCACCATATTACAGATTACAGCCACCATTAATTCACTCCTTTAGTAATTCTGTCATAGATATAACACTAAGACAAATCAATAAACTAGGCCAAGCATAAATATTTTGAACAACTGAAATCAATTTCAATCGATTTCACACTAATGAATAAATTTATGAAGAACATACAGTTTCATCACTCCATTCAAATACAAAAAGCCAGAATTACATCAAACAAAAATCACTCAAACTCTGATAATAGAAAGGAGATCATAACTTAAGATTAATATTATAACGTTGCTGGGACTGGCATCATTACCAGGATATATTTTCTTCACGTAACGTGTAAGACTGTAATACAGCTAATATCAAGTTTTGCTACGCAAAATTGATAGATTTCTTCACGTAAGGTTACAATGTTATGCTGCCAGGTTTTTCTTTTTGATTCAATTTTCTAAATAAAATCATGAATTTCAACTCAAGCTAACACGTCTCTGCTAGTTTTGATCCTCTAGTAAATTTAGAAAAAAAAGAAAGAGAAAATAAGATCGTATAATATGAAAAAACGCAAAATTACAGTTTTAAGCTCTGCTCTGACGCAATTGCAAAACCCTACAAGCACAGAAATGATGAATAGAAAAGAGAAATCAGACACTTACTTGGACCGAACAAGAGAAGAGAAGGAAAAGCTGGAATTTTGATACGATGTCTTATGAATTTTCCTTGGTTATCTGGGGAAACAAACAGGGAGGAATGGAAGAAGAAGAGAATGAGAAAAGGGAGGAGAGACTGAAAGAAAGAAGAAGAGAAAAGCAGCGACGATTCTCGAAATTTTTTTTAATTTTTTGTGGTGGGAATGAAATCGCAGTGGATTATGGTGACTAAGAAGTTTTTTAATTTTAAAGAATGAGACCCCATTCCTAACCTGCTGTCTGACCTGGCTTCTCATTATTGGTCCTTGGGAATGTTTGGATTTTTTAAATAAATTATAAATATTGTAATTGTTTTTATTTTTCTTTCTACAAATGATATTATATAAATATATTTTATTATTCCTGAGTAATATTACACGTCGTTAATGAATGATCATTTTTCATTCCTCGTCATGCATCTATATAAATCAACATGACATATCAATTGAGATGAAAAATTTAGAACATTGTTTGAGAAAGTGAACTAAATTTGGAATGCATTATAATTTATAACCACAAGATGTCAAAAACGCCCATCAAATCAATGAAACCGCCTTCAAATACACACTTTGAATTCCACAAAATGTTTGAATGTGCATCTACATAGAACAAATTATTGTCACAATATGGTTTCTTAAAAGAGTAAAAAAAAAAAAAAAAAAATGTTACATCTCTTCAAGAATGATTCTGATTCCCCCCATCTACTATTAACAAAACACAGAAGATATAACTTTGCTTTGTTTACAATGGCCCAAAAAATTACATACCACAGTGGAGCTGAAACAAAGGTCAATAATGTTAGTAACCAAATCTCATTCTCACTATCCAAAAATTTTAAAAAAAAAAAAAAAAAAAAAAATTAAATGAAAACGAGGAATAATCGGAGTAAGCAGAACTACATGGAGATACAACTATATGCAATACAGAAGGATTTACAACAAGGCGGCAGACATTCTTCATCCTGAGTCTGTCACCATCTTTGGTTAGTTCCATGGTGGTGAAGATGGTCGATAGATGAAATCTTGGGAAGATGTCGTGCCATAGTTTAGATCAAGGTTGTGGAGCTGTTCCATTAGCTGCGATCGTCTTTCCTTGAAGAAATCAAGACGAGTGGTTAATTCTACCAGAGCAGAAGATGCCGCTGATGGATGCCTTGCATAATCAATTGACTGCAACCACGGTGACATTGTAGAAACAAAGGGTTAACAAGAATCAATTTGGAAAATGCAGAAACAAAGTTCAGGTGATAATTCAAAATTTTCCAATTTATATTGGCACACCAAATGTGGTAGCAAACTGTCAGCAAAACTCGAGCTCACCTCTACTGCTCTTGAAGTGGAAGGAACGGATGCAGAATCAACAGCGAGATCATCCAGAGACACAGTAGTAGATGCCTCGGTACTTTTTGAGTCACTCAAGCTGGTTGACTCCATAAATTGCTTCCGTGAAGGCAGTCTGCTGCTGCTTCCAGTTGCTGATACTTGTCCTTTAACATTTCTCCAATCTGCCCCTAACAAATTCTCCTACAGTATCGCAGCAGAATATTATATTAGGACTGTTTAAAAGCATGTGTATTAATAAACTAAAAAGGATAACAAATGGCAAAAGCAAGTGATCTGACGGTCCAAAATAAATACTGCAGGAAAGCACAATTTATTCATTGCATTCGGGAGGACAAGACAAAGAGGATCCTGCAAATCCTAGGTTATTTCAGTTTGCAATATCTATCTTTGTTATAACTAAGACCAATTGAGGGCTGAACAATTTTGAAGAAATACCTCTGTTCTTTGTTTCCGTTCATGATTAACAAAAGCAAGGGTAGTATCAAAATCTTGCGGAAGAAACCTCCTGCAGATATAAAATACACTTTAGAAATAAAAACCTAAAAAAAATACTATACATCATGTTTAGGCTAACTTAAACGGTCCGAATTCTGAGTCCTACAAAAGGCCCTGGACCAACAATCAGAAAGAGAACAACTCTCTTGATGGATAGGGCAGCGTTTACAAGTAAAATAGTTTTCACACATATGGTGATTAAAATATCAACGTATTAGGAGAAACACTAAATAAAAAAGTAAATCAGATTCAAAAAAGAGTTATCTTGGTAAGTGTTAAAAAGTTGCATGCAACTACCTAAAACTTTTTGACACCACACACTGAGAATTCAAAATGTTAGCATGGTCTTGCACACTCACTGTTGAGAATTATGGTTTTGGACATTTTGGTAACGGTCACATGCATCAGAAAGAGATCCATAGTGATGTTGCCGTTGCTGATTAAGTTGATGATGGAGTTCTGCAACTTTCTGCTTCAACCTGGCCACATCCGCCTCAGCAAGAGCAATCTCCTCTAGCTCAGCCCTTGTCTTCACATCAATTGAAATTATAAGAATCAGTGCTGCTCAAGATTTACAAAAAGAAATAAATATATATAAATACTAGTTTCCTAAGATCGATACAAACTTTAGAATCCATGCTGCGTGAGCTGGAAAACTGTCCAGCAGACATGCTCAAACCAACTTCCAATGCAGCTCTAAGATCTCTTTCAGCTTGTAGCTGCTCCTGCAATCTTGACACCTGTACAATTACTTACACGTCAGTAGACACAAATACAGGATGCACGACAAACATTGATATGTTTATACACAAGCAGATATAACATATAAGGGAGAGTAGAAGTTACGAAATAAAGGCAGTATATAATGAGTAAGAGGGAAATACATCTTGCTCAAGTGCCAAGCGACGCTCATGCAAAGCCTGCTTCCTTCTCTCCAAGCTAGCTTGTAAAATGGCATTTCCTCTAGCCTGTAACAAATTATGACCAATTCTGTCAGTAATAACCCCTATTCTATGACTAAATACAAATAATTTCAGCAGATACGTTGATACCTCCTTCGCAATCCGGTGTCGCAAGTCATTCTTTGTGATCTCAAGCCTCTGAATAGCAAGCCTATTAACAAGTCAACATATTCACTTTTGTTAAAATAATTAGACCAATCTGGAGCAAATCAAATAAAACTGAAAGCTGATTGTAGAAAGTTCAAAATACTTCAAAAGACCTAAGAAGTTAATGCTAGAAACTTTCCAGGGATGTAATATTTTAACTGAATTGTTAGCTAAGTTAAGTTATGTCAGAATTTTGGTATCTATATTAGAGTAAGAAAGTAAAAATTATGAATCATCATATAGAAAATATCTTCAACTGAAAATTATGTATCAATATAGATAATATAGACAACTATCAACTATGTTTGGGATTTGGTTCTTGCGATATAGTAAGCAGATCAGCTTTCTCTGACCAGTGAATTTTCTGGCACTGATAACAGTTCCAACTTGTTTTAAATTCCTCTGACACTTAAAACTCATTATGTGCATCTAGCAGGATAATCAAGACAAGCGGTAGATATTCATCATAAAGAAAAACTTAACTACCTGCTCACCTAAAACTAGTTTAGGCATGGATACTGCCCGCACTATTTAAGTCAACTTTCGTCATTCGATAAACTATTGTTTCATCACTCCCATAATTTTCTGATGCCATTCAGTTCGATTTACAAAAGAGAATGAAACAGCCTTCAGGATTTCACTTTTTCTTAAAACAGGTAATATAAAACCTCCATTAGTTTGACATCATATAAAGTTTGTTACAAGACTAATTTAAGAAAAAAAAAACCAGTGTACCCACACCTCAATGGTATAAGACCTCCACAGCATACATCAATACTATTAGTGATTGAATATTGTAAAGGAAAGAGTGAATGCATGTTAGTATCTTACTCTTCTTCTCCAGAAGAATCAACGGATTCCATTGAAGGCGTCTTTCTGGCCTGTATAAAAGATAATAAGGATCATCAAATACAAAAAATTGCGTTCAAAAGTTGAAAGAATACAATATCGTATGTTTACTTCTCTGTCATGAAATACAAAAGCATACAAATTCAACACCAAATTTTTTTTCATGTGATAGGGGAAGGAGGGTGGACAAGTAATGAGAAACAAATAACACCAATTAAAGACATGAATTTACAACAAAGATGAACAGTGGTCCACCATTAATAACCACAGCTCTAAATTTCAAGCAAAAAACATAAAAAGAAAAGGCTTAAACCAAAAAGTCTCCCAATTTGTGTAAAAACAAAGAAGTATCCTGAAATTTTACGGACCCAAAGCACAGAGATTCAACTATAATACTGATACTCTTCCTTCTGAAAATTTGAGAACTACCATAGTGATTGAATGCAAGAGCATAATAATGGTAGATTACCATCAACCCATAGAAACTCTCCAGAATAGCATCAATTAGATTATCTAGACCATTAATGTTGTAAAGAAATAATAATATTAAGATGTGAATATGAGAAATTTAGGCCATACAAAAACAAAACCTAACAATTTTCTTAGTAAGATAAGTTCAAGCTTAAATGGGACAGATGAATACCAAGAACATGCATTCATCCAAATATAGCCTCAAAACAAAAAGCAAATCAGGAGTGATATAAGCAAAACTCATATAACTCTTAAATTCACTAAAGTTTTCTTTATTTAAAAGGATTGGGCTGCTGCTGTATCCTAATCTTTGAACTCCCAAGTCTAGTTTCTTTTGTCTTTTGTTTAGTGGATTACTGGTACATCACTTTTTAAATTGATTTTAGTATAAACAAATTTTTTGTGTCTTATCAAAAACAGAGTGATATAAGCAAAATAAACTAAGAACAAACCAAATAAAAGATGAAATAACAAAGCTTTAAGAAAAATCAATTGTTAAAAAAAGTTTGCAATTCATTCTCCTATAATTCTATATGTCATAAGTTTATTAAGAAAAATTATCTTTAATAAAATAAAATACCAAAAGAAAAAAGAAAGACATATGTAACTCTTTGACTTCATTTCTCAGCTTGATGTAACTTATCATTTGCTTCATGTAATTTTCAGTGAAAATGAAAAACATGTATAAAGACTCACATTGCTTCTTCCCCAAAATGCAGATCGCTTTGTACTGAGATTGGAACTCGTAACTTTACCAACTGGCTTCTCAGAAGATGATTCAAGTCCAGATGCAGAAAGGGCGTGCCCAGGATCCATTGAAGAAAGAATCTCACCCATTGAACGGTAAGATTCACCAGCAGGTAAAA